GTTTAGGGTTTGGGGGTGTAAGGTTTAGGGTATAGGGCTCAGTGGGATCATGCTTTACTGCTTTGAAGATTTAGAGTGGTGCACTGGAGGGGATACTCAGAACGATTGCATCTTCCACGTGTAGGATTGTGGGCGTGAGTGAGGCGTTTAGCTTGTATATAACAGTTTAAGACCTCTTGGCAACTCAAGCCCCCGGACAGTGAACTTTCCCTGAGACCACCCTAAACCCTAAATCCTGAACCCCTAATCCCTGGGTAAACCCTAAATCCTAAACTCTAAACCCGAAATCCTAAATCCTAAACCCGAAATCCTAAATCCTAAACCCTAAATCCTAAAGCCAAAATCCTAAGTCCTACACCCAAAACCCCAACTCCATCACCTCAACAAGGTCCATCAAACTCCCGAGGCCTCGCGCCAGGGGTCTTCGACTGCGGAAGCATCCCCGGCCTGGAAATCGCAGTTTTAGGGTTTTTCTTTTTAGGAGGGCTTCGGGTTTAGGATTTGTTTTGGGGCGGTTTAGGGCTTAGGGTTTTTTTTTTGGAGGGCTTAGGGTTTAGGGTTTTTTGGGGTGGTTTAGGGTTTAGGGCTTAGGGTTTAGGCCTTTTGTGTTTTTTTGTGGGGGCAAGGGGTGAGGGTCAGCAACCCTCGTAGTAGTGTTATGGTTTCTATAGTTTTCCCTTCACCCCTCAGTAACCCTCGTAGTATTCTGATAGAGCCCTTTTGAAACTTTAACAGGAACCCAAAACCTTAAACGTTAGACACAGAAACCCTTAAACCGGGAGACCGTAAACTCTAAACCCCAAACTCTATTTCTAAGACCTAAACCCTAAACCCTAAACCCTAAATCCTAAGCCCTAAACCCTAAACTCCCTAAACCCTATAAACCCTTAACCCTGAACTCTAAACCCTAAACTCCCTAAACTACATAAACCTTAAGGGTTTCTAAATATGCAAGCCCCGCCTGCCCGATGTGCTCAACTTTGGAGCGCTGGCGGACCTATCGCTGGGGTTTTGGGGTTTAGGGGTTTAGGGTTTTGGGATTTTGGGGTTTTGGGGTTTAGGGGCTTAGGGGCTTCAGGGTTTTGGGTTTTGGGGTTTAGGGGTTTAAGGTTTTAGGGGTTTAGGGTTTTAGGGTTTAGGGTTTACGGGTTTGGGGTTTAGGCTTTAGGGGTTAGGGCCAAGGGTGTTCGCTTTGCGTTTTTATTGGGTCTAGTAGTACTATTCTGGCTATTCAGATTATTGCTGTTATTTGTATTGCTACTACTATTACTATGACTTTGTCACTATTGTGATTAATTATCATTCGTAAAAGTTTAGTATTGTTGAAACTGTTACTATAATACTCGCAGACTCTTCGCCACCACCACTACTGCCATTACGACAACGATGACGGTTACCACATCGATAGTGTTTAGGGTTTAGGGTATCCCGTCTCTAAGCGAACTCCTACGGAGACAGTCTGCCACTTCGCATGCCGTCTTGAAGTTAGTCCACAGGTACAGTCCGACTGCTCGAGGCTGCTCCGCGAGCTTTGGTGCCCTTTGTCGACCCTAAACCCTGAATATGAAGCCCCTATCTGGACCCTAAAGAGCCTGCAATTTCAGACTTACTTGTTATGATTTCCTTATATCAGCGCCTGAACAAGGCAGGCTATTCAGGGTCCAGGTAAGCCTTGAACATCGGGAGCGGCGCTTCGCAGTTAGAAGCTTTCGTGATCCTCGGGGCCTGGAGGGCAGGGCATAGGAAGCCTGAACCCTATGGCAAGGCTAAACAGCTCCTTAACCCTGTACATCAGCGGTTTAGGGTTTAGGGTTTAGGGACCCTGAGCCCTAAACCCTGCCTGAACCCTTAGCGTTGAACCCCGCTTCGGCAAGCAAACTCATGTAGGGTCCTGAATAATTAGAATAGGGGTTTGGGTAATTACCTTTATAATATATTTTATAATAAGGAACCCTAACAATAATATTGATAATTTTTTGGGCCCCTATATGACTTGGGATCAGGGCTGACCCTGCCACTGCCTGACCACAGGACCCGCAGATGCGTCAGACCTCGCGGCTGCACTGTCTCTCTGCTTTACCCGTAGGCTCCATGGTGGTAGTTCCTTTTTGTGGTCGATATACTTAGGGGCTGAGTACCCTAGCCCGAAAAAGGTTAACCTTTTGAGTTATAGTAGGATTAATTAAGGCCCAAAAGGTTAAAGGTTGCCTACTCAGCCCCGTAGTATATGTTTAGGATCCTACAAGGTAATCCCAAAAAGGAACCTACTGGGCACAGCGCAGTCTTTGGAGATACATGATTCAAGACACGCTCACCATTGAACCCCATCTTTTAGGGAAACGGGGGCTCACGGCTTCAAGGACAGAAGTCCAGGTTCTACGGTTTAGGGTTTAGAGTTTAGAGTTCAGGGTTTAGGGTTTAGGACAGAAGTCCAGGTTCTTGGATAGTTGGCGCCAAAAGCCCATGGAGTGAGGGTCGTAGGCCTTGACACTCTAAACTCAAAGGAGTACGACCCAGAGGTTTAGGGTTTAGGGTTTAGGGTGCTTTCACATGCACCACACACTCATAAGGCCGCTCGAGCCCAGCCAAGCAGCAGGGCAACAGTGCCATCCCAACCAGCCCCAGTATTCGCACGAACCCACAAACCTGAAACCCTAAACTACGTCCAAAACCATCCAACAACCCTAAACCCGAAAACCCTAAACCCCTAGCCCCAAACCCTAAACCCTAAACCAAAGCCACCCCAGCCTGGCTGCAGCTAGGCGTGGAGCGCTGGCAGGCCTCTCAGCGGAACCCTTGCTTAATGCAGGGGCCTTGAAATTTAGAAGAGGGTTCCTCTAAAGGGTTCCATCTTGCCAGGACTTGAAGTTTAGGGTTTCTAGGGGTTTTAGGGTTTAGGGTTTAGGGTTTAGGGTTCAGGGTTTAGGGTTTAGGGTTTAGGGTTGAGGGCTCCTCTAAAGGGTTCCATAATAAAAGGGATACTATATGGGTTACTGAACTGGGTTCTATAATGTCGGGGCCTAAATCTGCAGAATAGGGCTTTGGGGTATATTGTGCTATACCCCCTAAACCCTAAACCCTAAACCCTAAACCCTAAACCCTAAACCCTAAACCCTATACCTGTCACAAGGAACCCCATATTAGGCCCTGGGGGTTTCTGTGGTTTAGGGCTCCGAAGAAGCTTCGGGAGTCTTGCCAGGACGTGAAGTTTACGGTTTCTAGGGGTTTTAGGGTTTAGGGTTTAGGGCTCAGGGTTTAGGGTTTAGGGCTTAGGGTTTAGGGTTTTGGAGATCGTCTATGCGGCAATGCGCATATAGAAGGTGAGGTCAAGGATTTGTGGGCTGGCAAAGGGCTTCCATGCTTGATTGTAAAACATGCACATCGCACACAAAGGCCTGCGAACCGTAGGACTCTCCCAACTTTAACCCTAGGAGCTAGGATTAGGAAAACCCTTGAGGATATACACCCTCTCAAAAAGGCCCCTGTTAAGAGAGCCATATGCAGGGATAAGAAGGGTCCCCTTTATGGGGTCTCCCATATACTACCTAGGAAACCAAAACCGCTCAACCCAAAGCAGCAAGGCACAAAATCCCACAAGCACCGAGCTTAGAGGTCCCAAAAGCGCAACTACAGCAAGCCCTCTGAGTCCAAGCCCCAAACTCTGGACCCGAAACACCTGCGTTTTTAACCCAGGTTTCGGGTTTAGGGCTTCGGGCCCTAATATCGGGGACCTTGAAGGAGTAGACTACAAGTTTGGGTATACTTTAGATGCTCATCCAGTCTTCTGCGTTGGGCCCCGACCACTCTTGAAACCCCAAACCCTAAACCATATAAGCCCTAAATGCTGAACTTTCCGTCCCCTATGAAGCCCTAACCCTGAAAACCCTAAACCCTAAACCCTAAACCCTAAACCCTAAAGCACTATGGGTAGAACAAAGCTCCGGCCCGGAACCCCCTGCCAAGCCATGCAGCTTCCACCGTAACCCTGACACCCTGAACCCCAAAATCCTACCGGATGTGTTGATGCTTCTGCTAGGTACTTGGCTTTTGATAGAAAAGCCTAGTAAATTTCAGAGGTGTTATGGAGTGTTGTGGAACTCTATCGCAATGCCACCAAATATTCAAGCCTAAGTACGCTGAAATTTAGCTTCCCGCATCGAAATCCCGAAACCCTAAAACCTTAAACCCTGAATCCTCAGCCCTTACCCACACTTTCTTGGATCACACAGGAGTCGACTCTCTGGCACAATGGCCAAGCCCGAGCACCTAAACCTACAGCAGTGGTCAATGTAGTGTAAGGTTTAGGGTTTAGGGTTTAGGGTTCAGGGTATAGGTCTACAGAGCACTACGGGTCTACAATGGTGTTGCATGGACCGGGGGGCAAATCCTTCTCAGAGCGTATGTTCATTGCTGCGTATTCAAGTTGATGTCGGCGTCCGATCTGGGGTTGCAGGGAACTTAAGATTGGTGAAAACCCTAAACCCTAAACCCTAAACCCTAAACCACGTTAAGAGAAGAACAGTGTCAGGGTTTGAACGTTTCAGAGTGCAGCTTTCTGGGCCTGAAGAGTGGCGCCTTATCAAACAGCCACAGTTCAGGGCTTAGGGCTTATAGGGTTTATAGGGTTTATAGGGCTTATAGGGTTTATAGGGTTTATAGGGTTTATAGGGTTTATAGGGTTTATAGGGTTTGTAGGGTTAAGGGTTTAGGGTTTAGGGCCTTGTGAACCCTTGAACCCAAGGCCCCCGACGCACACCACAGAGGTCCTAGGCCAGAACGCGAGCGTTGCCTGCGTCCTCGACACCCGTTCCCCTGAAGCCCCATAGACCCTGCACAACCCGGCAGCCCGATCGTTCTGAAAGGTAGCCGAACCAATGCGAAACATCGGACGGCATTTGTTCGAAATTCCTGGCACCACTGAGTGCCTGAAGAGCTAGTGACACTTTTTCTTGGGGCTCCGTGATCAGTTCACACTGCGCTATACACCACATAACCCTCTTCTAACTATGAAGCCCGTAAATTGAGGTCGGTTCCCTTTCTGGTGAGGATCACCCCTCCGGCCTGTCACCGGCTCCTCCTGCTTTGGGCACAGCTGACCTGCGGCGCTTCGAAACTTCCGATGCGTTTCGGGCTTAGGGCTTGGGGTCTGGAGTGTCGGGGGTTTGGGGCTGTGTGTAGCGTTTGGGCTTGTTACGGTCAGGGTTCTTAGATGTTAACTTACAGTCTTAGAGATGTTAGGAATGCCCCTAAACCCTAAACCCTAAACCCTAAAGGCGGTTTCGCGTGTGTCTTGAAGGTCTGTGCAGTTCTGGCTGGAGGCGATCCCAGGCCTGGAGTGCTAAAAAAAACAAATCATGCAGCGTGCAGGATTGATGCTGCGTTTTTTTAGGCACCTCATAAATGAAGTACATGTACATGCCCTCATATCTATTACTAGGAGCATTAAGGGGGGAAACTTTTAAGTTTTTGGCTCGGCTTAGGATTGTGCATAATGAGATCCGGCAGCACGTTACAGCTTCCGGGAGTCCGACATCGCCACACACCCTAAACCCTGAAACCCTAAACCCCTGAACCCTAAAGCCTAAACAGACGTGCTAATGTAGGGGCCTCAATAATTAGAATTGGGTTTTGGGGTATATTAGTACTATGATTAGAATAAGGAACCCCAAAATAGTATAGGTAATTATCAAGGTCCCTATATTAGTGTTTCAGGGTGCGGAGGTACGGGAAAGTGCGTGTTTGTCACTATGCAGTATTTCCTCCTGCTGCAAATCTTTGCCCGATCCCAAAGCGGTCCTGGCCTGTCAGCGGTGCCTCCAGCTTTGGGCACGTTTGGCCTGCAGCAGTTCCGAGCATCCTAGGCAACCTACTGTAGCCTCTTTGCAGATGTACGTTGCGCTTAGCAGCTGGAGCATCACTGACAATAAAACCTGAAAGAGCGACGGAGAAGTGAAACTGTAACTAGAACATTGCAGTGCGCAAGGGCTTTGGTGTGCCCCAGTCCCACTGAAGCCGAAAGCTTCGACAGGGGTTCTTCCAACCACTGATGGGACTGGGGGTACGAAAACAGGTTAACTATACCTTTACTATCAGGGTTTCCATAAGGGTTACCAGGGAGCACACACTGCCACACAACAAGACTCGCAAAAAATGCAGCAGTCAAACCCTTGAATAATCATAGCAACAGTAGTACTAGTACTAGTAGTACTGCTAACTAGCAGTACTAGCAGTACTAGCAATAGTAGTAGAAGTAGTAG